TTTACCCAAAAAAAAAAAAAGAAGAGGTGATAAGGCGGGATAATGCACCGCCTAAGCCCGCTTAGGCGCGCCTAGGCGGCACATTATGTCTCCTTTTAGAACAGAAACACATTTTTCGCGTATACCCCGAATTCGACGCGTTTTCAACTCGGATCGCGCTTAGGCGGCGCATTTTCACGCATTTTAGAACATGGTTTATAGGTGAGGGTAATTGGATTGAATGTATGGGAAAATCTATTTAAAAACGCAAATTAGGGTTTTTCGTATAAACCTGTCGCTCAAGCGAAACCTTAGCGACAGGCGAGCGACGAAATTCTGTTTTTGTTGCTTGAGCAGTGTCCAGGTGATAGGCTAGCGAAAATGCGGCGCCATGTTTCTTCTCTTTTCATGCTCGAAAACTAGATCTCATAACCCAATTTATACAAGTTACACCCTAGGTCCTTGACTTTTACAACACATTACAAATTAGTCATTTTGTCCACATAATCGCCAACATTAAAAATCTAACAAACTACTCATTTGGCATTCTGTGACAAAACTATACAAGAAGTCAATGAAAACTAAACTACCCAAGATTCATCAAATTGATATCTTTTGCATTCCTTGTTAAGTCTGTTTCCTGAAATCCAAACCTCAAATATTAAGAGTAAAAGCACGTGATACAGGAAATGTAACAATTGAAGTTCATAATCATAAAAAAAAACATGCTGGTTTAAAATATGACATTAATGTTAAAAAAAACACTAACTGAAACATTAACATCACAAAACATCAAAANAAAAAAAAACATGCTGGTTTCAAATATGACATTAATGTTAATCAAAACACTAACTGAAACACTAACATCACAAAACATCAAAACTCAAATAGCTTATGCATTATGATATGGAATCCAATACATGCAATGTAATGCCAATTCTCTCCCTTACTACAAACTCTCAACATGTTTTTATGTAGTATAAAAAATGTATCAATGTCTCTCCCCAACGACCCCTAGACATACATAAAATCTCCCCATTTATAAATACTCTCTCCCCCATTTTTGTCACAAATGACAAATGAATAAAAAAACTTTAACATAAACATATAATCACTTAAAAATGCGATCGTTGGCATGCATAAGTATAATCAATGTACAGTAAACCTTCCCACATATTCAATTCAAGTTAACATGGAGTAAATTGCATAAATGACCCATGTGTGTAAATTGTCACTAATCCTATATAAGCAGGACTCCAAACTTTAATTTTGTAAGAAAGGACATGCTAAACATCACTGCCAATAAGTATATTCCCCTACTTATGAAATGCAAACCATTTA